CTTAGGGTTGTAGAAACCCACATGTTGATGAGTGACTGCACATCACAAAACTTCTCCTTCTGCACATTATGTGGTCCAACCCTGGAAGGAGCCCTCCTCCCTCACCTTGATTTTCCATGTAAGAAATGTTGGATGAAACATTGTAGGATGAAACCCAGTATGCTCAGCAAGGTTGATGTCAACTCAGAGGTGCAAACCTTGAGGAACACAAAACAGTGTGTAATTCACTGGGGTTTGAGGAGGCCTGGACCTGTAGCCTCACCCGGGGTGAAATGTCTCAGGAAGATCTCCTCTGAGCTTCTCCTGTATTCCCCTATGGTTGGTCCAGCTCAGCCTGCCCAGGGGCTCTGTGCAAAGGGCAGGCGAGCCCTGCCCAGCTGTTCTGCATCTCTGCAGACCTCCCTACCTCATTGCTCAGCTTCTCGCTGAGCTGGGCCGTCTTTCCACCTCCTTCCCATTTTCTGTCTTTATTAATAGCTTCAGCTTGGACTCTCCCATATTCTTCTGTGTTGTGTCTGACTCCACTGTTCAGGCCATTGAATGTCTAAACCTTGCCTTAAATATTGACTTAGCAAGAAGTAAACCGTATTTCACCAGTCCTTTGGCATTTCTTGATGTTTCGGTGCCACAGGATAAACCCATGTTTGTCCTGAAATCCAGAGTTTGGTTCTGAGTCAAACTGGTCTTGACTTTCAGACTAGCTTTGGAAAATAAATCCATTAATACATCTCCTGTGGTTATCTTGCTTATAGTAGGCTGCAGTTTATGGCAGGGATTTCTTTGTATCTTCTGTAGCATTTTTTTCTTGGTGCACAGTACTGGGATCCTTCCCATTTCCTGGAGCTCCAGACTGAGTGTCAATCAGCACCACCACCACCTCTGGGCAGCGTGGATGAGTTAGCCCCATTGCTGTGGTCTTTGTAGGATGCAGGTATCAGTAGGATCTCTGCATCATTCTGGTGGGAGTTAAGCAAAGCCTAGGACTTGTGTTGTCCTAGAAAGCAACAAAATTCATAGGGGATGCTCCAGTACGGCGCTCTTGTTGTCATCTTACCCCAGTTCAAAGTTCAGCACTGCCCTATCCCTGCTTTTGGGGAGGTGGGCAGGTGTCCAGCTGAAAGCAGTCCTGGCTGACATGGATTTGGGTAAGGTTCAAGAGGGAAGGAGACTTCATGAGTGAACTGACATATGAATACACTTAGGCAAACAGGTCTGTCTGCCTTCTGAAGGGAGAAAATAGTTTTACCTCTCTGTGTGTGTTGGGAATTCCCATGGTTCACCAAATGAGATTTTTGTAAGATTGGCCTGAAACCTACGTTTCTCCATTAGTCTGAATCCGTGTCTCTCGGGAGCATGTTTGAGAGCTGTTGGTGGAGGAGACAATTCCTGACATGGTGGGACTTCTAAATCCTCAGCCTTGTTCCTGCAGTTGTAATTACTTTCTCATAGTAGGGGAGTTAGCGTAAGGCCAAGAGAAAGGGATTTAAGCCAGAGTTTATGACTGGTGTCTTGGAAAAATAAAGAGGATTTTTGATTTTGTGGTTCATGCTGTGGCGACAAAATTGAAGCATTGGATTTAATAGCTGACTCAGTTAATTAAGTTTCTTAGCATGTATCTTCCTATCTTTTACGCTGGATTTTAACTGGAGCTGATGAACTACCAGTCTCACTTGACCATACTGAAAATAGCATTTAGCAATATTTTTGCCTACACATTATTCTCAGCATACTATTGATGTTAGTGTGCAATGTATACTGCTGTTCCGTTATTGGTATACAAGATACTCTTCATTGGAAAGTTAATGCCTCAGTCCAGCATTGCATCTAAATAAAAGAATCTTTCTCCTTTTCCGTAATTAATGAAGAAACATTTGAAAGCCCTGCTGCTGAAGGTGGGCTTAATGATGCAGCATGGATATCAGGCTGGAGCTTCTTGAAGCTACAGGATGCAGTCTGAGATGGAAGATGCCCTTCATCCTCGTAGGTTCTGTCCAGGCAGCCTGTCGATTTGCAGAGCAAAACAGTTGCTGCTGAGACTCTGATGTCTGCATGACACATCTTACAGGGGAGGTTATGCTGGAGTAGCTGTTCCTGTGGGCTGAGCACCCATCAGGTGTTGAGGTGCATTACATATGCCCCTGCAGCATCCTCAGGTTTAGGTTCATCCTGGTAGTATTGGGTTTGTGCACTCCATGAGCACTCTGCAGTGTGAACCAAAGTGTGGTAAATGGGGACAACTGGGACATTCACTTTTAAAGTACTCTTATGCGCAGAACAGAAATGCTGATGGGCATTAAATAGTTGAATGCAGGTCTTATAGTAGTGATTTTGGTGTCTGGAGCCAAATCTATAAAAGCATGGTAGGTTGTTGTCAGTGCTAGCTCTGTTACTCTGGCTTAGGTTGCCTGTAGTCTTTAGTTGGAGTGTGGCTCTGTGGGAACGTTCAAAGCTTCTTGGTGCTTGTCACAAGTGTTGGACTTCCTCCACTGGAGGTCCATTCAAGGTGAAGAACATGCCTTGTTACAGCTCCCCCAACACTGCTTTGTTTCAGTACGTGTTTTTCTGTGTATATGAATTAGGAGTAATCCAGCAGGTCCTATGGAAACATCCTGGCTATGGAGAGCATCATATTATCCAACTGCCAAATTCTGAGTGAGGACGATGATGCTGGGATGAAGGTGGGATGGCAGAGTGTGGGCTGAGGAAAATGGCTACAGCCAATGGGAGTAACACTCAGAAGAGGAGTGTCAGGGACGGGTAATCAGAAAGAACCAGGGCATGAAAGTGGCAGTGAACCGGCAAAGTTAAACCTCTGTCAAAGTAGGAGGTGGTGCCCATTGACTGGAGAAGAGTGAAGAGGTAAGTGAATTTACCTGTGCGAGACTGGCAGATTGACCTGACATTTTTATTTGATAAGAGGCACAGGGAAAGTGGGGGACTATTGTATTTTTTACTTTTAAGGTTAAAGGGAAGAATGATAACTCTCCTTTACCTTGACTTGAGTAAAGCTTTTGATGGGGTGCCACACAGGAAGTTATTTAAGAAGATGAGGACTAGTAAAAAACTGGCACGGTGCAAAAGAGACTTTTTAGTGAGAAGTCAGGGACTGGGAGAGGAAAACAGACACTGGTAGAGGAGATACCCACTGGAGTTCTTAGTGCTTATTCTTGGGATGCTCTTATTGCTTCTTCTGATGGTTCTTCTTGATGCAACAAGTAGAAGGGTGCTAATGGGATATACTGCTGCTTAGAGGGTGGTTCAGAGGTGAACAGTTTTAAACAGGGCAAGGGTCTGCCTGTGTGTTTGGGGCTTGGATAGCTTACCTTTGCAAAATGAAGGCTGAGAGGTTATGACCAATCTCTAAAGGTACGCTGGGGTAACCACCCAAGCAGGGAAAGGCCATTCTTGGCACAAGAGCATGTGAGTAAATGCTGCCTGCTAAAGCATTTTGGCTGGAGAGTAGAGGAGTGTTGGTGGAGCTTTCCAACAGTGGAGATAAGGCACCTAGAAATTTTTAAGGGAAGGCCTGATGTTATGCCATGGTTGCCTGTGACAACTGGGGCTATCCTTGGCTGTGTAAAAAGCATGAAATTCCTTTGAATGGTGTGCTTGTGGATTCGGGTAATGCTGTGACTAGTAGGTCTCTTAGCTGCTTTCTAAAGGCAAGGACAATTTTTGAGCAACACAATTTTTTTCAGAAGGAGTAAGACAAAACTTCCATACCCCGGCTGTGTCCAAGGACATAAATCTTGAAGGGACAGACTCCCTAATGGCACTGGTTCCATGGATGTCCTCGAGGAGCTGACCCTGCTCCTGGCCATACTGGTTTGACCAATTGTAGCTTTTAATTAGTGCTGTTACTGTCTGTGTTAGGTGGACACCTATGCAGATGGTCGAATTTGTAGGCTTGATGAGTTGCATAGGAAAATCTTCCCATGGTGTAGTATTGCACGATACGTATCTCTCATAGGAAATGAAACTCCAGAAGGATTTCTTAAGGGGTCCCTCTGCAGAGAGGGGTTTGCTTTACCCTGCTGCTAATCCCATCATAAAGTCCCAAGCAGGGGAGCTGCACCTGAGCTGCTCACATGCTGTAGCTGCTGCATGCCCCTCTTTGGCCGTGCCAGCAGGTCCATACACAGGAATAGTGCAGTTGCTGAAATGGGCCCATGGCTGGAAACCCTGCCCCATGGTTTCATTAAACACCCCCATCCTGCAGTGATTCTGTCTTGGGGGGGACAGGGAGGTTCAGGGAGCCCCACTGTGCTCTCAACTTCAGTTGTTTCAAATACAAAATAGCTTGAGCCTTTGCCTCAGTGTACACAGAATAAAATTCCTTTTTCCTAAATTATATCTGTTTCAGCCACACAGTTTGAGGCAGTGGCAGCCTGTGCTGCTGCCTGGGGCTGGAGCTGGAGCTGGACCTTAGAGAAGGGGAATGCCCCAGCAGGCCTGCTTGACTGCGGGGGGTGTCACTGACTGCGGCACGTGGTCGTGTTGGGCCCTAGGGACAGTAGCACGTGCGGTGCCTTATTCTGGGATGTAACAGTCACTTCTTAGTTCACCCCGAGACTTAAAGAATATATGTAAGTACGTCTCTATGTGTCTGTCTTTTTTCAATGTTTTTCAGTTCCCAGGCCAGGAAAACTGCTCTGAAACCTGAAAGACGGGCTTTGCGTTTTTGGCTTGACCACTTGTCTGTGGACTGGGTGGTTGTGGTGTGGGGTGGGAGCTGGGCTGGAGTGCCCGCGTCTCTCCCAGGATCGCGCAGGCTTTGCAGTGTGAGTGGGAGTGGGAAGCAGAAAGTGCTTTGGTTTTGTCTGTTTTAATTCCTTGTGCTAAGCCTAGTAAAATGCCGAAGGAGACATTTTCCCATGTAAAAAGGTGGGAAGTGGGAAGATTTGTTTGTTGAAATGTAACAGGACTGTAGCAGTGAACCTGTGCAGTGATGCTGTTTCGGGGGGTATCCTGGTCCAGGTAATGATGGTAGCATCTTTCTTGCAGGTCCAAACACGAAGATGGAGTGTTCCAAAATTATCAATTTTGGAAACCAGCTTCTTCGCCGGAAAAATGTGGACTGCACTCGAGAAGACAGTCGGCTCTCGCGATGCCTCAATACATTTGACTTAGTGGCTCTGGGTGTAGGCAGCACTTTGGGTGCAGGTGTCTACGTACTGGCTGGAGCCGTAGCACGGGAAAATGCAGGACCTGCCATCGTTATCTCCTTCTTGATTGCTGCCTTGGCTTCGGTACTGGCTGGACTCTGCTATGGAGAATTCGGTGCTCGAGTTCCTAAGACGGGATCAGCTTATCTCTACAGCTACGTGACTGTGGGCGAGCTGTGGGCCTTCATCACAGGGTGGAATTTAATCCTCTCCTATGTTATCGGTAAGCATGGTTGGTGCGCTGCGAGACCCTAGCTTTAGTCCAGAATGGCAGCCCAGTTTCTAAGACCAGCCTTGTTTGGGCACTGTGGTGGTTTGACCCTGGCTGGATGCCAGGTGCCCACCAAAACTGCTCTATCACTCCCCTTCTCAACTGGACCGGGGAGAGAAAGTATAACAGAAAAGCTCGTGGGTCGAGGTAAGGGCAGGGAGATCACTCAGCAATTACTGTCACAGGCAAAACAGACTCGACTTGTGTAATTTATTACCAATCAAATCAGAGTAGGATAATGAGAAATAAAAACTAAATCTTAAAACACCTTCCCCCCACCCCTCCCTTCTTCCTGGGCTCAACTTCACTCCTGATTTTCTCCACCTCCTCCCCCTGAGCGGTGCAGGGGGACTGGGAATAGGGGTTGCAGTCAGTTCACAACATGTCTCTGCCACTCCTTCCTCCTTAGTGGAGGGCTCCTCACACTCTTCCCCTGCTCCAGCGTGGGGTCCCTCCCACAGGAGACAGTCCTCCATGAACTTCTCCAGCGCGGGGCCTTCCCCTGGG